CTATAAATGCCCACTGCTGAGCAAAGCCTCTTCTCACACGGAGAAGGTTAGAGCGTTAATCACCACGCTTGCTCAATGCGGGTTGGTGATTTCAAACTTATAATTAGAAATTATAAGTCCAGGTTTCCTCACGATGTTTTTCCTTCACCGTTTGTCAGTGGTGTCTAAATAATCTTAGAAAGTGCATATAACTCGGAAAAAGTCACATTCGTACTTGCTATTGGTAGGTTTCGAACGCGCACCCTCATGCATGAGAAGTGGGCGTTTTAACTCGTCGAGTACCGTCATTATAGACACAATTATAGAACAATAGGTTGCGGTCACCGGTGTCCGCTTGGTGTTTGACAGTTTAAACCGCCGGGCCACCACGAGTCATCACATAATGTATGTTGTTGTATAACACTGCAGGGTCCCAGCGAACGGCTACTACTTCTTCGTGTTCAACTCTGAGAACGAAGTACAGCGGAACTACATCCGCGCGCGGTTCGAGCTGCAGAAGACGCGCTACGACGTCGCGCGCACCGCGCTGCGCACCTGCACCACCGCCGCGCGCTGCGACCTCACACTCGACATCTTCTCCGCGCAGAAGGTCAGCGACTATACGACATACCATAATAACTATATATGTCTCTGTGGAATGCGGTGCCCAAGGAAATCAGAATGGCAAATAATCGCTGTTCATTTAAATTATAGGTTCGAGGACACATTCATAGAAAGTGGCAAACTCAAAACAGTGATAATATATTTTTTTTAACACCTGATGGTAAGCAATCGGCGTCGCCCATGGACACCTGGAACACTAGAGGCGTTACAAGTGCGTTACCGGCCTTTTGGGAATTAGGAGTTTGAGGATTGTTGAGGATTCAGGAATTGGGGAGATTGGGGAAGGGGAGGGTAAATAGGCCTCCGGTAACCTCACTCACAAAACGAAACACAACGCAAGCGTTGCTTCACGTCGGTTTTCTGTGAGGCCGTGGTATCACTCCGGTCGAGCCGGCCCATTCGTGCCGAAGCATGGCTTTCTTACGTTTTCCGGCATATATTACTTTCACTGAGATGAAAGCCCTTTGGACCCAAAAGGAATGTTACGCTGGTTTAGACATGTAGAACGGATGGATGAAAGTAGAGTAACGAAAGAAGTATAAAGTCGGTAGAGGGCGTCTTAGACGGACATATTAAAATTACCACTAACCGACGAGCATGCATGAAAAGACTGATGACTGTTGATGAAGCGAAAGAGGTATGTAGGAATCGTAGTAATTGGCGTTCTATAACGGTAACGCACTTGTAACGCCTCTGGTGTTCCAGGTGTCCATGGGCGACGCCGATTGCTTACCATCAGGTGATCCGTCTGCTCGTTTACCGGCTTATTCCATAAATAAAAACGTTTTTATTTATCATCATCATCTCTAACAAAACAATGACAGTATACTGCTAGCGGTCTGCTCCATATTCGTACCGAAGAGAATTTTGCCATGGCCATAATATCCTTGTATTTTGATATTGATAATCGTACTTTAAAAGCTTCAGATTTATCTATAGGAACCCCGCTGTGCCCCAGTTAAAAATAAAAATATGTAGTTTAATACATCCATGGAAATAAAAACAAGCATATATTGAGGTGTTCTTTTTGGGGGTCGTCTTTAAAAGAAAGTAGATTTAATTATGAATACTATGAATATAATACTTACTTAACCTCTTGACTTACTGACATTATCTCTCGGCTTTCACTCTCATACCTACGTTTCAGAAAACTAATTATGATTTGCCTCTTCCAGGTAGTGCTAGAAGTTCCTCTAAGGAACAACGACTCCCTGTGGAACGAGCAGTTCCTCATCATATCGGAGTGTGAGCCTCGGACCTCCATCTACATCTTCTGCGTCATTGCAGTGCCTATACTTATACTTGTGTTCGGCTTCCAATGAACGGTAAGTTACTATTAGTTCAATATTTTTTACTTCCTAGAAGCAATCCTGGAATAAAACATAAAAGAATGGATGGACAAATAAAAGATGGTCGAAAAAAAACGTAGACAAGTAATATATGTTTTTCTTTTCAGTGTGTAGGCTAAAAAATATCGTTTGTATTACCGCTGAACAAAATGTAGTACTAGTGACATCTAGCGGATAGTTTGTGAGTAGTTTTGCATTTAGTTCTACAACGTGACTAATAGATGGCGCACCAAAACATTAACGAAATTAATTTCATACAACATTGGAATACTTAAAATGTGTAGATTATTTTTTCAAACCTTAGACGGTTTACTAAGATCTTTTAGTTAGGCAGTTAATAACTATAATTTGACCATACTTACGCACCTAATGTTAGTAATTATGACAAATTTTTGCAATTAGGTTCTCACTACCCATTGTTCATTCCAAAATAGATCTTAATAATTTTCCATACAAGTTTAAATAGATACTATTTTCATTCCTATTTTTGTTGTTCATAATCTATTGTTTTCTCGGAATGGAAAATAAAAACAACGCGACAATAAATAGGTATCATAACAACGCCTAAAATACTTAACTACACAAAAAATCTAGGTAGCTACTCCTAAATAGTGCTTGAAAAATACGATGACATTACGACATAGGTACATATATGATTTAGCAAAAAGTAAGCAATATACTTTAGCTTAAGGACTCAAGAAGCAAGAGCCGCGGTTGCGCACCCGCAGCATTTTTAGAATACAAATATGTACCGTAAAACGGGGTGAATAGATACAGGAATGGGGTGAATAAATAGTAGAACATTTTCTCAATATTTAAAAAGGCGTTTTTTTAAAGAGAGGTGAATAAATATTGAGGATATGTTCTAATATTTATCCACCCCATTCCTGTATCTATTCATCCCTCGAATTCTATTCACCCCGTTTTACAGTTATGTAAAAACTAGCTTCTGCCCGCGACTTCGTACGCGCAATCCTATTTTTCCCGGAAACTAAAACTAAACTAAACTTTTTTTTTTCGAACGGGATAAAAAGTATCCTATGTCCGTCTCCTGGCTCTAAGCTACCTCTATACAGACAACTGTACAGGTTTAATTTTGTATTATATACATAAATTACTGACGCGACGCGCGTCAGCACCTTTGTACGACTATTTAAACTGTATCATTAGCATTTTATATCACTGCACTTTATCATTTGTATCAATAAGTATCAATATTCTCTCGTCACAGAAGTTTGTGTTATTTTATCATTTCTACGCAATCTTCGTGTCTATATCAACGAGAAGCAGTCAACCTATCAACAATCATCCAAGTGTAGGCGCTTACAACCCCTACATTTTATTCTACAACCTCCATACCAATTTTTAGCTAAATCTGTTCTGTCGTTCTTGAGTTATAAGTGGTGTAACTAACACGACTTTCTATTATATATATAGAAGAAGATTAAGGCACATTTCACGGCGCGTTTTATTCCCGCGGCGGTTGCATTTGCGGCTTCCACTACACCGGCGGGCGGCTAGCGCGGCACGCAGCCGCTTCGGGTTGCACCCGCGCGCTCTGCGATCGGTTGTTGTCTATGGGAGGGCCGGTCTGGAACTCAACTGACTGATTAATCACTGGCAGTAGTAGAAACGGGGTGGTTTTTAGTCAGTAGGAGTCTGACACTCCCTCCCGCCTTACCCAGGCGGGAAAAGTTATTCGATGATATTCCCCCCTTAAAAAACAAAAAATAAACCACCCATCTTCCAATAATGAACTGTCTCGTGTGTTTTGAAAATAAATCTCCATTATGCCACCACGGCGAGCGCGGAAAATCGTGCAACGTAAGAATTGGAATATATATATCTATCTACTTTATTGGAAAAAATAAGAACCGTAATAATAAGTTACTTCATCAACAGCTTATAACTGCCCACTGCTGAGCAAAACCTCTTCTCACATGGAAAAGGTTAGAGCATTAATCGCCACGCTTGCTCAATGTGGGTTGGCAATTTCAAACTCATAATTAGAAATTATAAGCCCAGGTTTCCTCAAGATGTTTTCCTTCACCGTTGGTCAGTGGTGTCTAAATAATCTTACAAAGTACATATAACTCGGAAAAAGTGACATTAGTACTTGACGTTGGTAGGTTTCGAACCTGCACCCTCGTGCATGAGAAGCGGGCGCCTTCAACATCTGGGCCATTACGACACTCGTTCAATTACTACCCCTTAAATCAATAAGTTACTTAATCGTTACTTTGTAAAAAAGAAAAGAAGAAGGTCCTAATAAAGTAAGGTAGGTATGAAGCATACTGTCTGCATGCATTCGTCTTTCAAAAACGATAGAAGATGTACCTCTAGTACCCTATCGTTTTTGAATTGCCGTTTCGTGGACAGTTCTCATTGTTTCTAGCAAGCATTTGTCGTTTGTAGGCCGTCTTCTTGTGAAGTATACAAGCATTCATCAAATGACGCAACGTGGACTGTTACTTACACAAACTATTTGTCCTGACTCCAGTATTTCAAAGTCATTGACTGTGAACTCATGAAGTCATGACCAGTCAATGAAGAAATACATTCATCAACTGTTAGACAAGACAAAACAAATGAATGACAACAGCATTCTAGTAGCTAGGACATCTCAATTAAGAGACATCGTTAATTCAAGTCTTAATTGATACGAGTGGACGCCGAGATTGAGATTAGATTATTTGCGTCTGAGTGAGACAAATTGCAGGCAATTTGTGCATAGGCCAAGATCAATGTGAGTATTTGTAAACGCATACAAAAAGTTGCTGGACTAGAGGCGTCGACGTCGCCGCGAAACACAACGCAAGCGTTGTTTCACGTCGGTTTTCTGCTCGGCCGTGGTATCACTCCGGTCGAGCCGGCCCATTCGTGCCGAAGCATGGCTCTCCCACACCTAAAATTTATAACTAATCATCATTACAGGGTAGATGACTAATTTTTATTTGAATGTCCGTCTGGTAGATTATTTAGACTTATGACACGTATTTTTTATTTTCCTTAACAAAATATTTCGAAGGTATATTTTTTTTTAAACGTTGCCCCACATTAGGATTTTCCCTGTGTCGTGGGTGCTTTTACAAACATACAAGTTCACACACACAATGACACCCAGACCCGGAACAACAATTTGTGGTTCACACAAAGTGTTGTTCCGTGCGGGAATCGAACCCGCGACACGTTGCACGGCAGCCGGTTGTCCAGCCACCGCATCAACCGTGCAGTTATATTGATTTGAAATATCGCATGACGTCACTTTTGAGTACGATTTATACTCTAAACTGACGTAGCTACCTTCCACTCCTAAACTTTGATTCGTTTTATCTAAGTATTGTTTTATTATACGACAAAATGAAAAAATACGTATCTAATATTTTTTCATTTCCTAACTTACGGACTAATTAGATTTTTAATTTTTATAACTAGTCATCATTCCTATTGACAAACTTAACCATCCTCATCTGCTTTGACGTCATTAAAATTAGGAATTCTATCGTCTAGGAGTCTCAAGGGTACCTTGTTATTGCTATAGTTGTGCATTTAATATTCAGACGTCGTGCACTTTTATTGTCCAATCAATTTAGTTACATTGCATTGCAAATGACCTAACGGGGCTTGAGGACTGGCTTCCACTGAAAGCTATAATAGATAAGTAATATTATATTAGCTTTGGTGCGTAAAAAGAAGGGTAGCTCTGCAAAAACAATATTTCTGCATAGGTGTTGTGTTAGAATCTGTTGCATATGTAGGTATGTTTATTAAGTACGAATGCATGTGTGTGTGTGTCATCATAAGAATTAAGAATCCATGTTAAACCAGTCGTAAATAAATCAGTGCAATGCAACCACGTATTTCTCTAACCTAAAATCCCCGCAAGCAAAAGTGAATCTTATTACTATAACAATAGGTATAACCCAGAATATTCTTCTAAGAGACAGTCTTAACTGTAGAATATAATTGACATTTGACAGTTCTTAGTATGGCCAATTGTCAAAAATTCAAAATGGTTCCTCCGATCAAATCTGGCGTTGGAAGAATCGGACCTAAATCGCGTCATTTTTTCTAAGGCAATAAGCGTGATTCAACTTTTTTCTTTTGCCATAGATTCTAGGTTGTTAATTATTTATGAGAATTCGAAGTTAAAAACCTTTATATTAATTAATTATGTATCTTCATGCTACATTTTGAAATAAGACTAAGTTTTTCAGCTTAGTATTTTAAATACTATATTATCTGGAGATTATATGTATGCGAACATAGACCACAGATGTTGCCAAATAATCAGAATGATTTTTAAATTTCCAATTTCTGAACTCCATAGACATCGTGCATGAAACATTTTTCCAACGTGCCTAACATTCACAATTGAAAGCTACATCGCTTAAAACATTATCGCTCTAGGAGGAACAACGACTAGACTCCCAATCAAAACAGCTCCAGGGTCGTCTCATGTCTACAAGCAGACATCTTGACAGTTATACCCGACAATGTCACTTGCAGTTAGACAATATTTTATTACTAATCAAAGTTGTGTGTCTAAAGCTGTCAGTTCGGTATTTCCTAGATAATAATGACTTGCATGTATTATTAGTACTAGTTTTTTTTCTAAACCAATTTTAGTAGACTTTGGAATATTTTTCAGACGTTTTCCTACATAGATTGAGTCTTACGACCTTTTTTTTGAGGGGGGATTATCATCCAATGTCTTCTCTCGCCTTGGGAGGCGGTGTGTCAGACTCTTACTGATTTAAAACCACCGCGTTCCTGTTCCTACTCCTGCATTTCAAGGCGGAGCCTCGGCAACTCGGCAACAATGTATATATTTTTACATTGGAACCAGTAACTATGACATATATTTTCTTTTTTTTTATTCTGTTTGGTATTTATTTTTTGACATAACAATTTGGACGAAAAATGTATTGTTTTTTTTTTAATGAATAAATTGTATCAAATGAAGATTACCTCTA